CCCATTCCAAATTCTGGCCACCCTTCCTGTGAAAAAGTTCTTCCTGATTTCCAGCCTAAATCAGTTTGTGACCATTGTTCCTTGTTACCCCAAGAGACACCCTGGTGAACAGAGCATCTCTGGTTCCTTGCTGCGCCCTGCTAATGAATTTGTAGGCGGCCACAAGATCACCTCTCAGCCTTCTCTTGCAGAGGCTGAAGAGTTCCAGGTCCCTCAATCTCTCCTCATAGGGTTTGGCCTGCAAACCCTTAACCATAGGAATGGCCTTCCTCTAGACCCTCTCAAGGTTATCCACATCCTTCTTAAAGTATAGCACCCAAAACTGGATGCAGTACTCTAACTGTGGTCTGACCAATCCCGTATAGAGGGGAAGTATCACCTCCTTGGATCTATTCATCGTGCATCTCCTAATGTATGATAAAGTGCAGTTAGATTTGCTGATGATTTCATCACACTGACAACTCATGTTCATCTTGGAGTCCATTATGACTCCAAGATCCCTTTTCGCTTCTGTGCTGCTGAGAGGGTCATTCCCCAGCCAGTAAGTGTGCTGGATATTTTTACATCCTAGGTGTAACACTCTGCACTTGTCCTTGTTGAACTGCATCTTATTGTGTTCTGCCCACTTTTCCAGCATGTCCAGGTCTGGCCCCTTTGCCCCCTTTCCCTCACAATGGGATCATCTCCCTCTGAGCCTGAAGGATCGTCTGGAATGACCACCCTTCCTGGACTCCTATCTTGCCAATACTCCTATCCTGCTATCCTCCTATATGGGATTGATGTATTGGTGCACCTCTAGTTCTTATGACTGCTTCTGTCTTGACCTAACCATAGCTGGACAAAATGTTAGTAATACAGTTTGTGAGCAGTAGTGAGAGAAGAACGCAGAAGACATGAGAAAGCAGTGGTACTGTAGCACCCCTGACAGAAGCTGAATATAGGGAACATTTACACCACTGTTTGTATAGAAAGACTAATATTTGTCCACAGCACAGTTCATGCTGTTATCATATACTCTTAATAAGATACTCATTTGAGCTTGTACACTTTAAGATAAGGCCTCAATAAGGCTTTGTTATCTAACTAATCAAATTCCCTTGATGCTTGGTTTGTTATATCAAGTATCCAGCTAAGCTCTGTAATACCCTTAGCATTGTCAACTACTAAGAATCATATAGTAAGGGTGTCTTTTTCCCCCTTTCTGTACTGAATTAAATGAATTGTGTGTCCTGCACTCTATTTTCTCTTTCAAGAATACCAAACAAATACCAATAAGAATGATTTATGTACCAGGTAATGTGCTATTTTTGGTACTTTACTTCTTTTCAAATAACCTTGTGAGCTAATTCTACAGGTTATATGTCTTAAACAAAGTAGCTATAAAAAGGAATGCATAAAGTCATATGTTGAACTTGAAGCATCTAATTTACTGCAGCATTATAATAGACCACGAATTGCTAGTGTATACTATGTTACTAATAGTACTGGTCTTTTAGGCCCAGAACCAAGAAGGGGCTTAAGATATGGTGATGTTGAATGTTTACACACCTAGAAGTAAGGCAAACCATTCTGGAAACCTCAAAGCTAAGTTAAAACAAAAACTAAAGCCCTCAACATAAGATTTTATGGGGAACCTTTTAAAAGAAGAGACCTGGTATAATTCTACAATACTACACGAAACAAGAATAGGAGCCCTAAACTAGGTAAACCTTGAGAATAAATGAAGGGATGCCATGGGTCCCCATATGGGATGTTATCCCAGTCCTTAACCTAAAATGATCTGTAAGGTCCATCTGAGGAGATGTAAAGGAGGCAAGATTTCAATGTGGCTAGCATTGGAGAACATAGCTGTAAAACCAAAACCGGACAAGCTGTGACAGAAACAAGATTACCACTAGAGCAAAATGGCTTGGATCTTTCCTAGACATTTTCCACAGTAAAAATATGGACTTATCAGTGGCTAACTAAAAGAATCACCTTCATAAGTTGTTGGCAACCTGGCAGGAAGAGAAATCCCAAAGATTTGGATAGATGTAAAATCAGTTTGGTTTGGTGATCTGTAAAAATCCTGACAGAAAAATACTTACTAAACTGTTAGACCTGTATTATTTGTAATCTGATTTTTTTTCTCTGTATTAGTGATGTTAAAATAGCTCTGCTAGACCTCAGAAGAAAGAACAGAAATGTCAAGACATTATGAAAAGAATGCCAACTGCCAGGGGTATACAAATAATAATGCCATAACAGCCATGCATGTATATTTGTGTTTTCATTCTAATCCAACATTAAAATACTTTGTTGACTAATAAATTTGTCTTGTTTAGAAATGGCTGTCCTGCATCACTACAAACTTCTGTCAGCTGCATCCCAAAGGATGAGGTCTCTAAAAGAAGTTCAGATCTTTATAATTCATTAAAGCAGTGGTGCAGAAGCCAGTCACAAAATAATGAAGTCTTAGCAAAAACTTGAGATATAAGACCTAGGACTAAATTGGTTTCTCCCCTATAATGGGAACAATCTACAGGACCCCAAATATTGACTAACCACTTATGTCAACATAGGTAACAAATGTCTGGCTAAAATATTCTTATTTTGACATGTGCCTATTAAAAACAGAACAATGAATTTAAAAGGAGACAAAGAAATAAAAAATGTTAATGCCAAAAAAACCAATAAGATGCAAACCCACTTTCTAGTCTCAGACAGCTAGAGTAATAAAATATATGGATTCACAATAAAATAAAACTGACAAATCAAAGTTATAATGCCTTGGAACATGGCCAAAAATAACAAGGAAAGCCCACAACAGATATTTATAGATAATATTCAATGGGCTAAGAATCCCACTTTAGAATGCATCAAAGCAAAGAAAAGTATAACCATTAGTGCATTGTGCATATTTAGTGCCAATTATTGAAAGATATAGAAACCTAACTATAATGTCAAACACCAAAAAGGAAGTGGTCTTGTGGAGTGAGTCCCAAGAGGTAGTAAGGGTTCATTTCCCTTAGTGAATTACTTTCTCCCATTTTTAGTCTAGCTATCCAAGAAATAGACTCTCTTACTATGTACTTGTAGAGTGGGAGCATAAAGGGGCTCTGGTTCTGGCTGAGCCTTCTGGACACAGATAACAATATTAGTAATATAAGTAATATATGTCAATAAACCTTTAACCTTTTGCTGCTTACAGTTAAATAGTCACAAACTCTTCTAACACTATAGTATACCAAAGAATACTAACATTATTACATGATGGAATGACTTCTATACTTTTTCAAAGTTTTATATGATATTTAGCATGATCTTTTTAAGCATATATACTTCCAGCACTAGCAGGTGGGTTCTCCTATTACTCTGTTTTTTTATTCTTTAGAATGAATTATATCCTTCCAAAATCCACACACAAATGCAATTCAGCTGGCCCTGATCTACAAAGTTTGGATCAGGATCTGAACATCCTCAAATACCAAAAAACAATATTTTGCTGTCAAATTACTTTTACTTTAAAAAACAGTAAAAGGACTATCATTTCAGACATATGTGATAACAATTACATGGAAATAATGCCTTCTCTGCACAAAGCTATATGTCTATTTTTTTCAATAGAAGGGGAAAAAAGGCAAAAGTATGTTAAGCCAACATTCTGATAAGTAAAATAAACAAGATAGTATATTGTAATATGAGAACATAACATCGCTCTAGTACAAAAAAGGCTAACTTTTAAAAGAACTAACAGATCACTAACTAATATCTTCTATTCATTTTCCATACCAATATATTTAACATGCTAATATGCGAAATGGCCTTTCAGTCACTGTCATTCAGTTTACTTGTTCGCTGAAAATTGCAAAGTAAAACTAAGCTTTCCAGTTAAATTATACATCTTTTGATTTATTCTATGTCTTTGGATAGAAAGACAAGCAAATTCTAATCTAGCCATGTAATCACTATAAACAGCAGTCACTAAAGTATTCAGACTAATTCAGTTCAACTCTGAGTTCGAAATATTTAAAATAACCCTCCTCCTGGGCTCTCAAATCAGTGCAGGTTATGTATGTCTAAAGCACACTCAGATCTAACATTTTATGTACAGATAAGGGGCACTGAATTAATACATCAGTGAAGTTTGAATGCAACATGACAGTGATAGTGCTGTTAGTGAAAAATGGTGGGAAACTATAGGTAGGTACCTCCTTCATCAGATGGCCTTGTTACCTCACTGCTGTAAGAAAAGCTAGAGTTCATCTCAGAACCATCTAATTTGTCATCCCCCAGATTCATGCCAATAGCACTGGTAGAATGGAAATGCTGTTTATTGTAACGACTTGCTTTTTCTACAAAAGGGAAAAGAATGGCTCAGTAAATAAATTATAACAGAATAAAATAGACAGCAAATGATTAATGTACCAATAGCCTGAATTTATGGAAAGGTGAACTTCAACCAATTTCACAATCAGAAAGTTGACTGGGACTCTAAAAGCTGAAATGGAAGCAGAGAAAGGAAAGAAAAATTCTAATGAAGGTGTTATTCTATCTCTGTAGCATACTTAATTCTCCCAACTAGAAAACTGGTCTATATGTTTTTAAATTGGATCACTAGTCATAGAAATGGCAAGCTGTGTAAGTCACACAGAAGATAGGGTAAGGTGACACCTTAAGCTAAGGGCAGACATTCAGGGGGGCTAGGGAGAAATTAGATCATGTTAAAAATGGCTACCCAATCTAAGGTAAATTGAGATGGGGAGGATTGGGGAGATGGGGGCAAGCAGACTTGGGGGGATTTGGGGATCTGTGGGAGGACGTGGGGACAAACACAATCCACAGGAGTGATATGGGGCCAGGTATGATCTGCGAGGCAATGGTGGGGTATGTGGCATCTGTGAGAGGGAATTGGGGGACTGCGTGGAGGAAGCAGGCAGCATCTGCGGGAGTAATCAGGGGGCAGACAGGGTCTGTGGGGAGTTGCTGGGGTCTGGGAGGGTTTGGCAGGATCAGGGCAGCTCACAGGAACCCTGGGGGACCTCGAGGCTATTTTTAGCCCCCTCCCCCTTCCCCCCCCTC